GAAGAACTCTCTCTCTCTCTGTGTCCAGTACTAACCTGTGAAGTTGGTGCCTTGATGCAGGTACCACAAAGATGGAGCTGGAGCGATGGCGCCACAGGTAAGTAACACTGGCCTCCGCCAGTCTCTCTCCCACTCTACGATCTACCACCTACCAGCGCCCAGCGCTGAAGACTACAGCTAAAGCTATGGCGCCCAGCGCCAAAGACTACAGCTAGCGCTACCACTACTGCCTAGCGCTGAAGACTACTGCAGCGCTCCTCCTGAGTGCTGCGGCCAAAATCCTGAAGACTACTACTGCCTACTGACACTACCTACCCGTGAAGTGCATGGGAACCTCCTATGTACTACGGGTGTGCCTCTTGAGCCTGCCGAAGGGAGGCAGGGGCTGCAGCTGCAGCTCCTGCTCGAGCACGTGAGGAACAGGCTATTTTGGGCCTGTTCCGCATCCCTGTTTCCGTGCCTGAGTCTTAGGGGCAGGTCGAAACAATGAGGGCCTGAAAATGGCCCTCCGTTTCAGGCTGAAAACTCTGGGTCTGAAAAGACCCAGAAATAGGCTGAAACAAGGTAGGGCCTGCAGGCCCTCGTTTTTCAGCATCCAGGCTGAAACGAACGGGGCCTGCAAGCCCTAAGTTTTAGGCTTTTAGGCTGAATGTCCGGGACAGGCCCTGCAGGGCCCGTGTGGCTACGCAGTATGCCACAATGCTGGACCTTACCTAAGGGGGAAAAAAAGAAAAGTACGCTGGCCCCGAGAGTCTTTGGAGTTAGGAAACCCAGCAGAAGCAGAGTCAGCCTGACAGGGAAGTCTCCTCGTTCTTTTTGTTTTTTTTTTTCCCTTTTTTTTGGGGGGGAAAGGTTGACAGGGAAGTCTCTATCTGTTTTTCCTAGGTCTGATCTTTTTTTTTTTTGAGGGAAGTACGTTCATTTCATAGATGACAAAAAAACACCAGTAAGTTCCCAGCTATTTTGTTCCTACGAGGCGAATGAGCAAGACAGACTGATCCTCATAAGAGTACAGATATCGAATTCGCGCAGAACAATCATTTCATTTATGCATGCACATGAAGTAAGCATAGCCCCACCGACGATGACAAAGAAACCAGCGTCCCACCCGACAATCGTCCATACAATCCAAATAATGATCCCAAGAAGATCATGGCCGCCTACAGACGAGAAAAGATCTAATCCCCACCCCACCAAAATAGCATCCACCGGATTCTCCACCCAATCTTTTTTTTTTTTTTTTTTTTTTTCCTTTAAACGCCCCTGCCAGTGTTAGTGGTGCTGATAAGAGCAGACACCACTAGCACCTGGGGAGAGGCTCCATCTATTGGTGGGGAGCAGCGCCTGCTGGAAAACGGGTCCAGTGTCCCATATACAAAATGAGCTTGGAATGTATCAAAACAGGATTGTGTGATGTTCCTGCCAGCATTGATTACCCTGGGATCCAGGGGATTGACTGAGCAGGCTGTTAGAGAGAGGGGGAACCTCTTCGCCCTGAACCTGGCGCCAGATCCCTGCTGCTACACACTAGCTCCTCCCTCCCCCTACTAGTGAAAAAATGAGCAGAATAAATGAAGCCTGTCAGCAATGATTGCCCTGGAGCCCAGGGGATTGACTGCACAGGTTGTGGGGTGACTTTTGCCTATATCATTCCGGAGCCCTGCTCAAACAGGCACAGAGGGGAATCGGTAGGTGGCAGTTTGAATGATGCGGATGGGACAGGGGGCGACTGGATGAAGGGGCCCCATCCGCCATTCCCGCTACCCAGCTAGCGAAATCCTCTCCTGTCCCGGTTGAGCAGGCCCTCTCTATTCCTTATTCCCTACTCCCTACCGCATCAATGTATGGTTTGGGAGGGGAAAAGGGTCTGGGAAGTCTGTTGGGGGGGGGAGGGGAATATCGTCAGGGATCATGGTCCAATCGTTGAAACAGAGACAGCTTCCAGTCGATGATCGTCGTCCAATTGCCAGCCATCCCATTGTACACTTGCTATCCTCCCCCCTCGTTCCCCCCCCAGCCAGTCCATGCAGAGTTCTTTTAGGTAGCGAGTAATGTCAGTCTTTTTGGAGAGGGGGTTTGTCGACTACATCAGTTGTGTCCATCGAGCCCTGATTGCAGTCTCAATTGTGTCCTTGATCATCTCAGTCATCTCGCCCCTCCCTATATGTGCGTCGTCGAATGTCAATATGCAACGACGCCTCCAAATTGCCCACAGTACCGCTTTCGTACCTATCGAGAACAGATTGGAAACGAAACCTACAACGTGGGCTGTCCAATGTCCACAGAGCAGAGCTCTCCACTCCCATGGCCAGTCAGTGCCTGTTTCGAGGGCTGCCCAAATTCTTGCCCACCATCACCAGACTAGCTTTGAGGATGGGCATTGTAAGAAAAGGTGTTCAATAGTCTTGTTTTCCTTGTGGGATGGGAAGCCCTCCAGGCAGGCCACACACCATGGGAGGGCTATGCCTTTCTGCTCCAGGTTAGAGTGATCAATGAGCCATGCATTTGTGGGAAGGCGGCGGTGGACAATTTGCCATTGCAGCGCGGCCAGTTTGGCGGGTTTGCACTTAATTTCCTTAAACCATTTCATTGGTCTCAATGTTACCAATGGTACGCTCAGATGCCTCACCCATCGGTCCACAATCCGATCCTTCAGGTTGATGCGGGATCTTATTAATCTGTAAGTGGCCTTAACCCCCAAGTTGTGCAGGTACTGGTAACGGGGTTGTGGGTCCCGCGAGGGGATCTGCCACCTCCATTCAGCCGGATCAATGGGGAGCTCCTGAATGGGCAGCTTAGGCCTGAAGACTACCCAGCAATCCCCCTCCTGCAGCACTCTCACCCTGTGAATAGCTACCTTCGGGAGCCAGAATACCTCATCTGGGACCCCACGCATCAATCTGTTTTGGTTGTTCCTATAAAACAAATTTACCAGCGCTTTTTCTCTGCTAGTCTTCAACACTTGACTGACACGAGCCCCATCCCCTTCTATTGCCACCCAATCTTCTTCCAAAAACCGTGGGCCCCGTCGTTCTGCAAGATTTTCCCCAATCCGGTGGCAGTGTGGCAGTTTACTTCTAAGTTGGGCTTCTGTTATCCAATCATTGTGTATGTTGTCCCATATGTGCTCCACTTTATGGACTTCGTGCCTGACCCAAGTGCTCCATGGACGTCCTGAGCTTGTGAAGACTCTCCCCTGTCGGTCCGTTATCCAGCGGTTTCCGAACAGGGTTTGGCGGAGCACCTCCTCCCATCTACTGGGTTCTGGTCTGTCCGGGAGAGGGAGCCACCACCAATCCTGAATCAGGCGAGCCCAAAAGTTGTTGTTTTTTAAGGTCTGCGCGGACCACTGCTCGGTCTGACTGCCCAACCAGCCCTCGGGAGGGTCTAGGAATTGACCAAAACATGTCGTCCAACCAAACGAGCAGGTGCGTGGAAGGCCGGGATTCGGGAGCTAGTCGTGCTATTTGTTATAATGTTAAAGACTCCCATGAGAGGTTCGGTGTACAGATTAATCTTTTAAGCCACTGCAGGGCCAGGGCAGTTGCCTGTGTGTCTGGATCAAGAATCCTCAAGCCGCCGTGGGACTTAGGTTGAACAATCGCCTCCCACGAGACCCTGCTCATCACGTTCTGTGTTTGTTGGTTTCCCCGCCACAAGAAGGCCACAGTCCGCTGTCTCGATGCTTCCCGGGACAGGGGCCAGATAGCAGATCTGTACCAGAGGGATGCAAGTGCCACGTTGTTAATAACGAGAGCCCTGACAAAGAGTGAGGTGTGTTTGTCCGTCCATGAATCAAGTTTTTGGAATGCGAGGTCCATTACCCATTTGTCATTGCACTCAGATTTTTCTGCTGCTGACAGTTGGATCCCCAGGACCCGAATTGGGGCCTCCAGCGGACAACAGGTGACCCCGGGCCGCTCCGGAGGTCTACCACCGTTGTGGTGCATCCACCACCCCAGGGTCTTACTACCCAAGTTGAACGACATGTCTGAAAGGGTACAAAAGCGGTTCATCGGACTCTCGATCTCTTCCATATTCCGATGGGAGGCCTCAATCATCAAGGTTAGGTCGTCAGCGAACAGAGAACACACTTGCATTACATCCTCCAGGATGGAAGACACCTGGATCCTACAAATGTCCTTATTGGCTCTCAAGTTGGCCGCTAGAGCCTCCATGATTACCACGAAGAGGTAAGGGGCCAAGGGGTCACCTTGTCTGACCGAACGCTGCAGGGGGAAGTCAGGGGTCAGGTGTCCATTGATTTGTACTTTAGTAGTGGCGTTAGTATGG